GGTGCTGGGATTAAAGGTGTGGACTACTATGTGTGGTTTCTAAACTAGTTTTTGATGGCCCTGTCCCCTCTACAACTGGTAAAGCTCATGAAGTCAGAAGATGTGGGGAGGGCTGTGTGGGTCAAGTCTTCTTACCCAGGAGCCAGTTGCTTCTACACCTGAGTTTGGTGTCCAGGTCACTGTGCCCTGGGCTCTGGTAGGAAGAAGCTGGTCCCACCTCCAGGGATCTACATGGCAAAAGCCTTAATGATGTTTGAATCTTTCTGACTGACAATTCCACTCTTAAAAATCCATGTCGTGGAAGTAAGTAGACAGATGTGACCTAGATGTTTTCCCACAGAGCTGTTGACAATAACACTGCCCAGATGCCAGGAGGAATGAGGAGGCGTTGGCACAGCCCTGTGACCACTGCTGACCTGTATGGTCACTCCAGCCCCACATGACGATGTGATTTTCAGGGCTCACACAGTTTCTGAGACTGGTGAAGGATGAGCTGGCTGCAGCTCCCAGAGTCCTCCAGGCCTCTCTGCTCTCCCTGCTCCTGGTGATACCCACGGGGTCCCATCCTAAAACCAGGACCCTCTAATGCGACCTTTGTTTCCATGAAGCCCTCCTCCTGACCCATCTCCCCCTTTTCTGTTCTAGGAGCAGCTACAGCCCCTCTTGAGGAGGACCCACCCTGAGTCCAGCCCATCTTGAGGAGGACCCACCCTGAGGCCCAGGGAGCTCCTCCCTTGACCACTTCAGCTCCTTTCTTTAAAAAAACAATACTCATTGTTTTTAAAATTAAAATAGTCACATCATTTCCTCCTTTTATTTCCTCTCATCCTTTTCATACACCCCACTCTCTTTCAAATTCATAACCTCTTTAATTTGTTATTGTTAACATACACATAAATGATAAGTATATAAATATGGCATGCTGGGACTGTTTGGTATTGCTTGTATGCATATGACTTCAGGGCTGACCACTTGCTATGGATGACCAATTAGAGTGCTCATCCCTGGGGAAGACTAATTTCCCCTTCCTCAGCATTTCTTAGTTGTCTGTAGTCCTGTCCTGGGGGTGAGGGCATGAGATCTCCCCCTTCTGGGAAAGCATGTCTACTAGTGATACCATTTACTCAGGCCCTCAATAATGTTCAGCCATATTGTGTCCTCTTCCTTTGAGACAGGGTCTCATTATATTGCAAAGCTAGTCTCCAACCTATGGGCTCAAACAATCCTCCTGCCTCAGCCTCCTCCTCTCCTTCCTCATCCCTCTTCTTCCATTTTCTTTTTATGTGTGTCTTTTACCTGTGTGTCTATGGACCATGTGTGTGTCTGGTACTTGTGGAAGCCAGAAGAGGATGTCAGGTCCACAGGACTGGAGTTACAGATGGTTGTGAGCCACCACGTGGGTGCTGGGGATCAAACACAGTTTTGTTTTGTCTTGTCTTGTTTCTGGGAGAGCAGCAAGTGCTTTTAGCCATGAAGCCTTCTCTCTAGGCCCTCTGTCTTCTCATACTGTTAACATGAACACTCTGTCTCCATTCACTGAGCCAGCCCAGCTCTCAAGCTCAGCCCTGGGCAACGCCTGTCCTCCCCATCCCCACTGCTTCCCACATGCACAGTTAGAGCTAGCAGGTGGGCTGGCTGCTCCTGGTCGCTTCTGGCTCTTACACACACAGCCACACCGGGTGTATACCAGGCACTTGACACACATAAGTGTGCGAGGTCACGTAGACTCAGTGTGTGTTGTTTGGGGCCAGGGAGGCCACACTCTTAATCGGTCAGCACCCCTCATCCGTGTGGACCGTCCCATTTCAGAGAAACCCAGAATAGTTTACCGGGACGGAGGAGCCACCTTCAGAGACACATCCAAGGCAGGGCCGCTCCACTCTCCCTGCCTGTGAGTCCTGGTACAGGAATCTGCCCACAGATCTCCCACCCCTGGGCCTCCGCTGAGGCCACTGTTAACTGCCAGCTTCAGCATCACCCAGGCTCACCTCTCCTTGCCCTCCCTACCCTCCTGTCACCTGCCTGCCTAAGGTTGCAGGTGGGTAGCCCCCACAACAAGATCTGAAAATCTCCCCCTAGCTCTGGAAACCAGGTCAAGAAACCTCACGGGTGAACACACCAAGATCCCCTCTGAGGAGGTGAGTCATGCCAATAGAACAGAATTCTGTTACACCAGGACTGTCCAAGCAGCATCACTGGTGGCCGAAGCTAGCCCTGTCAGGTACGCTGAAGAAGGACCTAGGCTACATCGCAGTTGGCACCGGACTCCTGGGGACCATTCTGTCCCCTGCTCCCACTCTGCCCTCCGGAGTTGCTGATGAAGCCCCAATGCCTGTGGCATCCTGAGCTCCCCACAGCTCCAGCTGCAGAGCGGTCTGGCTGCCCCTCTTGCCAGCCAGAGCTGCATGTGGGCCCTTGCGAATCTTTCCCACGGAGCCTGGGCCACTTCCTGCTGCCCTGGAGGCACCACTTCCTAATTACAGACCCAGAGGGCTAGCCAGGCACGTACACTGGCTGGAGGCCAGAATCAGGTCCTGCGCCTCTAGTCCTCAGGGCCCAGGGGGTCCCAGTTTGGCTGGGATCCAGGCTGTTCAGAACACACAGTTCCAGGAAAGGTCCCAGCTCTTGGGAGGTGCACTGGGATGGCAGAGAGGAACTCTCCGGCTCTAAGACTGGCTGGGTGGTGGTGGTGCACACCTTTAGTCCCAGCACTCAGAAGGCAGAGGAAGGTGGATCTCTGTGAGTTCAAGGCCAGCCAGGTCTACAGCGCGAGTTCCAGGACTACACAGAGAAAGAAAACCCCTATCTCGAAAAACCAAAGGGGGCAGGAAAGACAGCGATGTCGGGGCCCCTCCCTCTGCCATAGTATCGGTCACCTAGAGCAGAAGAATCCTGAATCACAAAAGGGGCATGCCAGGAGAGGACAATGTCTAGTGACCCTGAGGTCACTGGGACCTGGGCCACACGGCCAAGGCCTTGAGATGAGGCAGAGAGGCAATAGAAAGGAAGGGTCAGGGACTATGGTGCTCAGGTATAGAGCCGCCATCAAGAGGGCCAAGAGCTCCTCTCTGGACCCCTACTTTTCAGCTACGGAGTCTGGTGTCTGAGCAGCATTGGCACAGGGCTGGTAGACAGGCACTGGCAGATACTGGGCGTGGATGTCTCAAGGCTCCGACTCCCTTGACAATGGCACCGGGGCTCACATTTCCCAGCACCAATAAAACAGAGACACATCCACTCTCCACTCTCCCCGCCTGTGAGTCCTGGTACAGGAATCTGCCCACAGATCTCCCACCCCTGGGCCTCTGCTGAGGCCACTGTTGACTGCCAGCCTCGGTATCACCCAGGCTCACCTCTCCTTTCCTACCTCATGCCACCTGCCTGCCTATCACCAGCCCTCCAGTCCTGGCAGCAGCTTCACCTGCAGTTTTGAGAGCAAATCTCCGCCGGGACTGAGGCCAGGCTCAGATGGGGGTGGGACAGAGGCGTTGTGGACAGTGCCAGGTGGAAGATGCCACTAGTCCTGGAGCTGAAGCCCAGACCTCAAGGACACAGTGTTTGTGCTTGGACTGAATCAGGCCGTGAAGTGTGACAGGTTGAATGCCTAGGGAGGGTGACACCATGTCATCGAGGTAAGTGGCAGAAGGTCCCAGAACAGCAAGGTCACTGAGAGCCCTCCTGGGGTGACTCTACCTGACAGGCCCTACTTGATTGACCCCAGAGAAGCCAGGGGAGGGCCAGGTGTTGTCTGCTTCCCAAGGACACTGGCTGCTTTCAGCGCATGTGCTCCCAGCCACACATTGCCTCCCCCAGCACTTCTAGGAGTGTCCCTGGCCCTCGAAGCCCCAGCTGAAGACCTGGACTTCACCCAAAATGGTCCTCCAAGGCCAGCTGTTCCACCTCTCATTTTACACAGGGGAAACAGGGTCCCCCATCAGCAGTGGGCATCTCCTGTCTGCCTTTCCGTGTGCTTGGCCTCAGAAAAGCAGAGACTAAGCTGTACCCAGGGGAACGGGGAGGGAAGGGAGCAGGGAGGACCAGGACCAGGGTCAGTGTCATCAATGTGCTGTTGTTGACCCTGCGCCCCATCTACCAGTGCTGTGTGCACGTGGTCACTTGGGTAGGTGGGGGCTATGTGTTCCTGCTGTCTAGAAGGGCTGGCTCCCGGGTTGCTGGAAACCCTTCCTCACAGGGATCAACTGCAAAGAAGTGGCCAGCAGAGAACTATCACTGACTTTTTCTGACAGCTCATGCTCACCCTCTTCCCAGGGGCTCTGCCTGGAAGGGGCTGCCCTGGAGAATCCTCTTCTGTGTGGTATACTTCTGGTCCGAGTGCTGCTGCTCTCAGGCGAAGGAAGCATCTTGTGGGATGCATCGCATCCCTTCCCATGTCTGCAACTGAGCGCTCTCTGCACCTCACATTTTCCTCTCCCCCCATCCTCCCCACACCCATGCCTGTCCAGTCTGAGTTCTGGATTAAGAGATGGCTGTGTTCATGCCATTATTGCATCTAGCGCACCCCCGTGGCGCCAGCAGGCCGGTCCAAACAAACGCTCCTCCCCAAGGGCTGCTACGGAGGATCCAGAGGAAGAGGCCTGGCACAAGGCGATAGGAGGTGGAGTCCCGGAGGATGAATTTCCCAGGGGACCCGGGGAATCCCCACGGGAGGGTGCTAACTCCCGCGGGGGCGGAGCGCAGCAGTCCGTACCTGGGGGCTTATTAGAAGTCAAAGAAGGTCGGGTGGGTGAAGCCCTCACTGCATGCCTCTCAGCAGATGCTTCCCCGGCTGCGCGCCCGTCGTCAAATGGCATGGGACCGGCGGTGAGACAGAACGAGTCAGAAACCACAATCGCCTCTTTCTTCACTTTGCCCCGAAACACTTAGTCTTTTTTCTTCCAAGATAGTGTGTGTGTGTGTGTGTGTGTGTGTGTGTGTGTGTGTGTGTGTGTGTGTGTGTGTGTGTG